CCTCTTAATCAGAAAGATTTCTGGCTCCCAGGTGTCTTTTATACAGGTAACGAGCTGAGATTAGGAGCACACTCTTCAAAAGGAAGTGCTCCTAATCTCAGCTCATTACCTGTATAAAAGACACCTGTCCACAGAAGCAATCAATCAATCAGATTCCAAACTCTCCACCATGGCCAAGACCAAAGAGCTCTCCAAGGATGTCAGGGACAAGATTGCAGACCTACACAAGGCTGGAATGGGCTACAAGACCATTGCCAAGCAGCTTGGTAAGAAGGTGACAACATTTGGTGCGATTATTCGCAAATGGAAGAAACACAAAGAACTGTCAATCTCCCTCAGCCTGGGGCTCCATGCAAAATCTCACCTCGTGGAGTTGCAATGATCATGAGAACGGTGAGGAATCAGCCCAGAACTACACGGGAGGATCTTGTCAATGATCTCAAGGCAGCTGGGACCATAGTCACCAAGAAAACATTTGATAACACACTACGCCGTGAAGAACTGAAATCCTGCAGCGCCCGCATGATCTCCCTGCTCAAGAAAGCACATATACATGCCCGTCTGAAGTTTGCCAATGAACATTTGAATGATTCAGAGGACAACTGGGTGAAAGTGTTGTGGTCAGATGAGACCAAAATGGAGCTCTTTGGCATCAACTCAACTCTCTGTGTTTGGAGGAGGAGGAATGCTACCTATGACCCCAAGAACACCATCCCCACCATCAAACATGGAGGTGGAAACATTATGTTTTGGGGGTGTTTTTCTGCTAAGGGGACAGGACAACTTCACCGCATCAAAGGGACGATGGACGGGGCCATGTACCATTAAATCTTTGGTGAGAACCTCCTTCCCTCAGCAAGGGCATTGAAAATGGATCATGGATGGGTATTCCAGCATGACAATGACCCAAAACACACGGCCAAGGCAACAAAGGAGTGGCTCAAGAAGAAGCACATTAAGGTCCTGGAGTGGCCTAGCCAGTCTCGAGACCTTAATCCCATAGAAAATCTGTGGAGGGAGCTGAAGCTTCGAGTTGCCAAACGTCAGCCTCGAAACCTTAATGACTTCGAGATGATCTGCAAAGAGGAGTGGGACAAAATCCCTCCTGAGATGTGTGCAAACCTGGTGGCCAACTATAAAAAAAACTTCTGACCTCTGTGATTGCCAACAAGGGTTTTGCCACCACGTACTAAGTCATGTTTTGCAGAGGGGTCAAATACTTATTTCCCTCATTAAAATGCCAATCAATGTATAACATTTTTGGCATGCGTTTTTCTGGATTTTTTTGTTGTTATTCTGTCTCTCACTGTTCAAATAAACCTACCATTAAAATTATAGACTGATCATTTCTTTGTTAGTGGGACAACGTACAAAATCAGCAGGGGATCAAATACTTTTTTCCCTCACTGTATAACACAATATCAGGTTCAGATTGCATCATTCATTGTTTTGCTCAAAAAGCAAGTACTGTCCAAACCCAGTCATAGATTTATTCATAGATCCAGTCAAATATGTATGTAGTAATTTGTGGTTTAAATTGAGATCACTTCCTTTTATAACTCACTTATCCTCCACCATTCCCAAGTCAAGGGTCGTCTATACTGACTCAGTAGCATATCTTGAAAACTAGAGCCAATCAACACATTTCAAGCATTATTTTCATTCTCAGTGACCCAGAATGAGTAGAGTTAACTACATTTATTTCGGAAGCATTTTGGCTGTAGACCAGTGTTATTGGTCAGGTTATTCACAGTTAATCAACATTTTAGTGGAATGCTTTTTATTCATAATAAAGGTTTTCTGGTTAGATTGCATAAGTATAAATGTGTCATAACTCTCCACCACCCGACAGCCAATTAGCAAGGGATTTGTCACATAAACAAAACGCCAACTAGTTACTACTTCAGCCCACCAGTGTGTTGGAGAGTAAATACTCAACATTTACAATTTGAGTACGACATTTCGCTGGTAATTAAATCCCGCATCATCGGGCGATTTGCCAGAATAGTGAAGCAATCCACCTACTTTCGGTCTTACAGAGAGCAGGACGACGTTACTACGGAACCCAATCAGGTGCAGAGATAACAGGCGGAGGGGGGGGGTAATGTAATAATAGATTAGTAATCAGTGAATAGTATGTGTTTCCTCTATAAGGAATTGTAATTGTAAGATGTATTACTTAATAATACGCTTCCAGGCTGCACTAAGCCTGTAGCTGTCAGAGCAGTTAAAACTATTTGTATTTCTCTCAATTTCAATGGATTCTCGAATTAGTCTTGGCCAGTCATAATTAGTTTTACACAACACTTCAACGTTATCAAAATCAATTGAGTGTCCTTGTTGGCAAGCATGTCGTGCAACTGCAGCCAGTTGTCTTTGAGAGTATTGAATATTTCTTTGGTGTCCTTTTAGTCTTACGCTAATGTTACGTCCCGTCTGTCAACATATGGTAACCTGCATAGGCATGCAAGTGAAGAACGTTATTGTTAATAAGTTTCCAAGCAGAATTTCGCCTGCAGCTATCAAAACGGTTACAATAATTTATGTTTCTCTCAATTTCAACGGATTCTCCAATTAATACTGGCCAGTAATAATTAGCTGTACACAAAACATCAACATCAAAAATAAATGAATGCCCTTGGTGGCACGTGTATTCTCTGCAACAGCAAACTAAAAATGAAATAATTGCACTGTGTTGATTAACTGTGAGTAACCAATAATAGATACTGCACAGTCTCTGCATATTATCAGATCAACATAATGTATGTACAACAATCTAAATGTAAAAGCATTACATGTCTGTTGATATTAACTGTGGGTAACCAATAATAGGTAATGCACAATCTCTGCATATTCTCAGATCAACATAATGTCCATCAAAATAAACGTAAACACATTCTACTGTCTATTGATTAACTGTGAATAACTCAACCAATAATAGGAACTGCATATTTTCAGATTAACATGATGCGTTGTAATGTATATGTAGCGACATAAATGGTATCACGACAGTGTAGCGACAGTACCGAGGGAAGAGTGGTACTGTACGCGGGGTGCTGTTCTATGGCACCAGTGTGTGTACTTCATTAAGGGGCTCACTAGAGGGCAGGGTCTGGGTGTCACGGAGGTCGGGTTAGGACATGACAGCCTGCTTGAACCCGCGAGAGCACGTGACCGGACGAGGGGGCACGGGGACCCCCAGAAGGGGGTGAGGTGGCCACGTGGTATGGACCGAGAGTCTCCACGAAGGATCTAGAAGGGGGCATGGCCAGGGGCGGGGCCCGGTCATGCTGCAGCGGATATAAGCCCAGTCCTGAGAGGGAGCTGGGCTGTTCGACCCAGGAATGAAGCCGTCTTCTTCGATCCTCACTCTTCGGTCTTCACGCACGAAGGCCAGGCAGCGTGTTAGCTGTCCTGGTCCAACCATATAGTGATCCCATTCAAGTGGTTAGGTGGTTAGGAGCGGAGGCTACCACTCTATGTAGTTAACCCATAATGTACATAGTTAACCCGTAATGTACATAGTTAACCCTTGATGTACATAGTTAACCTCGGAGCGTTGCACAGTTATCTGTTATGTTAGCCGGTTCGAGTTGTGTTAGTAAATAAACGTGTTGCCTCCAAGACTTGGTGTGCGCCTATTCAGAACCCACTACGTATATGACTACATTAATCCCCCCCTCTGGTCTTTGCACCTGATGGGCTAATAGTGATGTCATCACCATTGCTCTATTTAAGACCGAAACAGGAGGATTTCTCCACAATTCTGGCTAATCGCCTGATGAGTCCAGTTGTAATTACCAGCGAAACATCATACTCAATTTGCAAATGGCGTGAGTTACTCTCAAACACACCGGTGTGCTAAAGTAGTAACGAATTGGCATGTTTTGTTGACATGATATCCCTTACTAATTGGCTGTGTCGGGTGGTGATGGGTTTGAGGACACATTTACACAATATAACCCAAAAAAAACTTTATTATGAATAATATTGGTCACGAAAGCCTACGACGTGTTATAAATTCTATTACTACCGTCAGGGCCATCCATAGCGGCGTGCGGGGCCCGGGGCAAACCCCACCGTGTGAGCCCCCTTGACAGTTTCAAACTAAATCGGAAGTAGGACATCTAACACCGTGACGTCACAACGCGAGCCCCCCCCCCCCCCCAAAGCGCGGCACCCGGAGCGATCGCCCTGATTCGCCCTACCCTAGGGACGGCTCTGACTTCCGTTTACCAATTGTGACGTGTGGCAACGAGTTCTGTTCGCAACTGCGCCACCCAGTGCTGGTAACTGGGTTCAAGAAAGCGTGGCTCTGCTGATGATGAGACACTGAATGTGCCCCCAGAAGGCCTTGTTTGTGTGGCTGATGGGTTGTGTCAAAAGTTAATAACTTTTTACACGACCGGAGGACGCCAAAAGGCCTTTTGAGACTAGGCTACAAAGAAAGCTGTCTCTGGTGTGGACCAATCAGTTTCAAAGACAATGCATATATTATCAGAGTATGTTTTTTGTAAGCATTCTGACCACAAGTATTGTGGTTAATGCAGACATGATTCCTTGTAAAAGATTTCAGTTTGGTGTTTTAACATCTCAACACCTGTTTTGTTGCCAGAAAAAAGGGGAAAACGTATTCTCAAGTTAATAACTTTTATATATTTTTTTTACGTGGAGGGACAAATATGGGAAGGAGGCGTTAGGAATCTTGTTTAACCAATCGGATTGGACACTGTAGTAGGTGGGTCGCAGTGACATCACTCTTCGCGATACGATGTTAAATCTCACGACGATTAACGCGATACAAGTTTTAATTAACTCTGTAATCGTGTATTCCGCGTAACTTTCGTTTTGTGTTTGTGCTTTTCCATAGCCAACTTTAAGTATGGATATCTTAAATGTTAATCACTCATAACACACATACACACACGCTGTCAGAAGATTGACGCCACTTAACCGAGACGCCCTTGAATGTATCCGAAAAAGTTTAACAGAGCCCCTCGTTGAATGGGATTAAAGCTATTTATTAAAATAACACATTACCATTGGGGTTCACGCCTTACAAAATATACATGAAATTTACTCAAGTGTGTTTACGACATTGACCATACAGTACAGTGAACCACAACGGAGGAAGAACAGCAACACGACACGAACTCCTCTCTTTCTACTGAAGCCCTCTCGTCGTGGCCAGCAGCAGACATCGACATTTTCATCTAGCTTCCTGACCACATCGCCGTCATATGCAAGAAGAGAAAACAATTGGGATTACACACAACAGCAAACATCACACTCCTACTGGCAGAGAAAGGCCCACTTGCGGGCCAGTACAATCGCCTTGTGCTGCATACAGACAGCTGCCACTGGGGGTGAGGGAGGTGGGGGTCCCATTAAAATGTTCAAGATGAGATGCGAAGTAAGGCGCTTTAAGTTGCTGAGGCCTTTAATGCGCCTTTATAAATTAACAATTATAAGTGAATTTTAATTATAATTTCAGAAATATTTTGTCACGACATGAACTGTTTCAAAACAATACAATACTCTTTGGTTCTTTCGGTAAAGTCATACCTACGTGACTTTACCGAAAGAACCAAAGAGTATGGATTCCTGCAGTCACGAAAGCTTCAAATCAACAATGCAATAGTTTGCGCATCGGACGATACGATTCTCATGGATCTTATTTCGTACGACGTACCGTAGCATCACTATATGGCGGTAACCCAAGCCCAAGGTGGTGCCCGTCACCAATGGGGCAGTGTCTCCGGGACTTTTTGTTCAATACACGGCGGTGGTGGCGGTGGTGGCATGCGACCCTGCTGTAGTGAAACAGCCGTGTGTCTAGGGGCTGCGCCACCGGCCTGATTCACAACACCAGCTGCCGCCGGCCACCGTGATGGAGGGAAGGCCGGAGAGCTTTGGAAAATAAGATTAAGATCAGCCTTTCTTGTTCTCTTGGCGTGTGTCCTGAAGTGGGTGACCGTCCGCCGTGGTGACCTATGATGGCACAACGACAAGGGCAGACAGATGTTTTTGGTTTCTAATGAAGCTTAATAATTTTGTCACTATTGTGCTATCGGTCGCATATCTCGAGTCAGAGAATCCATTCGGATCACTTTTGGAGCAACACAACCCTCCGTGTTAGAGGCTGGTCCGCGAATATCACAAAGCTATCTCTGAGATCCCTTCAGGTGACCCTTTGGTCACATAGAAGGGGCAGCACTTTTCAACCTGCTCTGCCACTGAGATGTAATCATAACCTCAACTTGTAATGCGCCGCCGCCGCACAGTATTCGTTCACTACTCTCCCTCACTCTTCTCCCGTAAGAGAGAACGATTCTGAGGCGCGAGGAGGAACCACAGACAAGTAGGAAAGTAGCCATGTGATGAGCCGATGCCATCAATTGCCTAAGCTCCAAGATCCCCTTTATATAAAGGTGTTATCAGGCTATTTAAAGTGTTTTCATATGGGAGGAAACCGGAGCACCCGGATTAAACCCAAGCATGTAAGGGGGAAACACTCTATCTCGTACAGATGCAACAGGTGAAGTCCACGTTTGCTGCACCGCAATCTCCTGGCGAGCCAGGGTATGGCATCTCCTCATCAGGGAACAAATGCAACTACGTCCTTGTCGTGTCCGCCTGCAAGTACCCAGCCATGTCAAACAATGTCTGAGGAAACCAAAGCTGCAGCTAGTTGGCCGGATCGTCACGATCCCGACCAACACGTGACTACAGTTACACCTCCTGCCCAGGCCGTAGGTTCAAGGGCTGTGGGGCCAGCACTCCGTGTTCTTCAGCTCAATGTGGAAGGACGATCTGCGGCTAAACGCGATGTCATTCATGAATTAGCCACTTCATACAATAACGTCATCTGTTTACAGGAGACCCATATTCCAGATGACCAGGCAGGGTGTTTCCAGATAGCTGGATATGACCTTGTTATTTGTTCACTTCACCCAAAATATGGCCATGCACTGTACGTGAAATGCGAACTGGTTGACATCCAGCTGCTGCCACCCTCTGTTGTCTGCAATACAGTACGCATTGGCGCATATGCTGTATGCAATGTAGAAGTAGTGACATAGAATGGGTCACTACGGCACGTAGCGCTTGTTACTGGTAGAGAGCGGGATCGTGGGTGTAATAGCCCGGTCTACCAGCAGGGCAGGTGAAGAGTGCCACTGGAGCACATAGCGCCGGTTGCTGGCAGAGAAGGGGCATTTGAGGATATAGCAGCCGGTCTGCCAGTAGGGCACGTGATAGGCCGGGGTAACGGATGTAGGGTATAGGTAACAGAGGGGACACGTGGGGCAGAGCCCAGAACCTTCTGGTAGGTTCCAGAAGGGGGTGTGGACGAGGGCAGAGCCAGGTCATGCTGGGGAAGATAAAAGGGAGGCCCCGACGCTGGGTCGGGGCTGCTGCGGTTTGGGAATGGAGCCCGTCGTCTATGAAGTCTTCGTCCTCCTCCTTAGTGTTGGATCAGGCAGTGTGCCGGCTGTCCTGACCCGTATATAGTTATCCCCTGAACTGTGGAAAGTATAAACGTGTATGCCTCCTACGACTAGTGTGTCTATAAAGTAACCCATTACATATACAAACCACCAAATGACTCATGGGGTGTGCCAGTCAGTCTACCAAAGTTTCAACAACCAGCGATATATGTCAGAGATTTTAACAGCCACCATACAGAGTGGGGATTTGCAACGTCTGATGAAAATGACGAGGTGCTTGTGCAAGTGGGCATCACAGTGCCACTTTCACCTGGTCACACGACCCCCAAATAGAGAGGTACCTTCAGCTCAGCCAAGTGGAAAAAGGAATATTAACCGGACCTCTGCTGGGTCAGCGCAGCTCACGGCCATCAAATTCCAGCGTCATGCACTATTCTGAACAACTTCCCCAGGAGTCAGCGCCGCCCATCGTTAATCTACATCGGACTACAGCTACCCATTATTACGAGCACCTTAAAACCACCCTGGAACTTCACAAGGCACAGTGGACAGAATACACTGCAGCAGTAAAACTTAGCATTGTCTGCATCCCGAGCACCATCTCAATAGATGAAAAATATTCACGCTTTATGGGGGAATTTACAAGAGCAGCCACAAAGACCATACCACGTGGTGTTTATTCTCTCTATAACCCGTGCCTTGATGCTGAGTGTGCCGAGCTACTTCGACAATGTAAAGTCTGGTTTCCCGGAGGTAGTGTAACATCTGATTGAAAGCCTCAACATCGTGCAATGTGCTCGTTGGGAAGAACTGGTCACCAATGGAGACTTTTTTAAGTCAAGTAGAAAGACCTGGGCACTTGTCCGCAAGCTCGGTGCTGCCCAGCGACCGCCAGCGTGCAATCGCCCACCAGTTACATCAAATCAAGTTCCGAGTCACCTGGTGCAGGTCATCACAAAGCCAGTCGGGTCAAGGCCACGTGAGCGTCACGAACACCTTGAGTGGCGGAAATACCGGCATAGTGAGACAGAATACCATTACGGGCCTTTCACCACTGCCGATGTACATTCAGCACTACAACAACAAAAAGCTTCTGGTTCTAGACAACATATCCCCTGAGCTATTGAAACACCTTGGGTCTCACGCACAGGTCTGGCTAGCAAGGTCACTACGTACGGCGGGTCTCTCCCTAGCTGCTACTATGTAGTAGAATACTGTGCACTGGTATGGACTCTATAAGTTCAGACCAAATTGGTGGATGTCACCATAAGAACCATCTCCGGTGAAAGCAGGACAACCCCACTACCGTGGCTGCCAATACTTTGCAATATCCCCCTCGCCAAAAAAATGCCATCAAGCTGCAATGGCCAAGATGCTCGACATCTTCAAGCCTCCACCCGTGTGTCTGAAGAAGTCCCGACACCCAGTGTGGGCTATACCACAGCCTGAAGACCCGCACTGCATGGGGCGAAAGAATGGAGATGTGTGGATGTTGCCTAACAATGATCTCGTCAGTGATCCGTCTGTCCAGATGCCTGGCTTCGACCTCCCAAGGCGCCAGTGAGCTCAGTTGAACCGCTTCCGGTGTGACCAGGGTATGTGTGCCGCTTCCGAACATCGATGGGGCGAACTACATGACATCCCACTACTGTGGGAATCCAGGAAGCTGGAGACCGTGGTTCACATCGTCTCTGGCTGTGAATTCCGTCAGGACGTGCCGGGAGGACTGGTTGTTGTTGCCCTGCACGTGCTGGAGGAGGCTGTCACATGGCTCTGTGGCTATGTGGGCTGACGTCTACTCACATATAGCATTGAGAAGCATTTATTTATTTGTCTTGCACATCTGGGACTCTAACTGTATGACAGTCACGTGTAAAATAATTCGCTAAATAAATAAACCTCCTCGCCACCCACGGGAAGGAAGTTTCGCAACATCACTGAGTGATCCACCAACCCTCGCTGCTGCCTCCACAGGGCTGTCATAAAACTGTGAAACTTATATTTTAATTCTCAGCAGCTTTCAGGCACCAGTGAATTGACCTTGGCTGGTATAACATAAATAAATAAAAAGCAAAGCCCTCCCAACGCCAAGACTAATCTCCCAAGGAAGAATTTGCCCTTGAACGTAGAAAACTCATTTCTTTAGAACTGCTTTTTGTGTTTAGTTTGCTGTCCTTCCCCCGCACCTCCAATCAGCACGGTTGGCTACTTACGGTGCGAAAGCAGTTCAACAAACATAAATACGACCTAAAAATACCAACATCGCCATCGCCTCCACCGACGGCGATAACAGACCCTCCTCCATTCCGCCACGGCGGCGAGATGTGGTATGCAGGAGATTGTGGGTTGGATCCCGACCCTGAAGCCTGCATATTTCGAGTTTGCATGTTCTCCCCGTGGTCGTGTGGATTTTTCTCCTGGTCCTCCAGTTTTTCGCTCCACATTTATGATCAGCATCACGCGTTTAGAGTATTTGGCTGCTGTAAATTTCCACGTGATATAAGCCACTTCGTCGAGCTATCATTTGTGGCCAGGTCGCTTCTGAAAAATAGCTACGTAGCTCAGTGGGCCTTACCTGGTGAAACAAAAATAGTTTACAGTTTTTTATAGTTTAATTCCTGCCAGGGTGAAACGTTCTCTATACTCGGCAGCCTCTCCCAGCCAAACTGCCATAAGGCAAGAGTCGGCGGACGCCGTTTGCAGATGCAGCTTGCGGCCATGGTGGTACGGAGATGGTGGGAGGGGGGTGGGGCGGCACAGCACGGCCTAGCGGAGGAGGAGCGTTCGCGTCCTGGCTCGGGATGTTCATTAATTTCCTTTATCACACGCGCACAGGCACAGCAGAGAGGGAGAAGAACAGCAGCGGTGGTTCGGCGCAAGAGTGGGGCGTTGCTATTCCGTCGTAGGATCCTTAACCGTTGATAGCGCGACAATGAAAAACGAAAATTCCTGCAGCTTAAATTTCGATTGAAAGCTTTCGTGACTGCAAGGATTCATCTTCTTTGGTTCTTTCGGTAAAGTCAAGTAGAATGAGAATAAAATAATAAATTGATAAAATAAAATAACACAATAATATTCTCACGACGTTTCGGCCACAACACAAGCGGCCTTCATCAGGTGAAGGGGACGAGACTGTCTAGAGGACAGCGCTGTCCTCCAGACATTCTACGTGACTTTACCGAAAGAACCAAAGAAGATGAATTCCTGCAGCTTGACCAACAAATATCAGAGTCGACCTCCCCAAACACGCACCTTGGTTAAGGAGGTAAGCTTTTCCGTGTGTGTTGAGCATTATGCCTTGTCACTGTTATGTTACGATTTGTTATTTCTGATGTACGTGTTTTTGTGACTTTTATTGAAAGTTGTGTTGTTTGAAACCTCTTTGTGGTCTGTTGGGGGCACGGATCGATCAATGTTACATTTCGTATCCAGGCAGGATTTCCTAAATTTTCAGATGAATGCGAGAGCCAGAAGCACATCCCGAGTATCCACAGAGATATATACCCATGTTACGTACCCACTGTTTGTGTGTACGCATTATGTACACCCGAAAGACCCAAGGGTGGCCAATGTCCAATGGGGCGTATGTAGAGGATCTGTCAGAGGTGGTTGTAGGTGCGGTCCGGTACGGACATCTTGAGTGAAGCCACATTCGTCTCGGAGTAGCCCTTCTCCAAAAGTAGAAAGTCAGAGCGATTTTCTGACTCATTTGAGTCAATGGTTGGTGTTAATTTCCTGTTCACAGCCCTGTAGAGCCAACAGTGAAAATTCTGCACAGGGGCGAATCTCTGCACGGGACAATCGCTGTTTGCATTCCTCGCAAAGTGCTACTTATTTATTTAATCACCGCAGAGGGAGGGATCATTGGCTGTCGACCCCCCAACCAGGATTTTAAACTCGCAACCTTGCGATTGCGAACGGCTCGCTCTACCACTGAGCCACCTGGCCAGATAAAGTGAATGTGGATGTTGGTATTACTGCAGTGACCGTTGTCTTTTTTAAGTAAACATGGAGGATCGCAGTGACGTTGAGGTGGGTGTCGTTGTGATCCGACATGGCACAGATTACAGGTAACGGACTGGAACTTACAGTACCTGAGGGCTATGGTCTCAGTCACGTGCTCCGGCCCTGCGGAGCTGTGCCAGAGCTCTCGGTTTTGTGTCGCAATTTCAAATTGCGGTCCACGGTTGACTCGGCCCATTATCCCACCTGGGCCGGTAAAACGAGTGCTACTTTGTGGGATTGTCAACAGCAGTTTCACGAGTGAGAAAATGTAGCCACTCCTCCGCCTCCGACCCCTTCCATATGGGAATATCGAACTTAAGTTCAACAAATTAGAAGACCGAAGTCACATTTTTAAAAGTCACGCTAAATGAGACACACGGGTTGTAATTTTGAAGGTAATTATAGTTTGGGAAAATGTGGCTTTATTTATGGAATAAAAACCAGGGGTTTGACAAACACAAGAGAATTAATGCACAATCGCCATCCCGGCATGGATGAAAATTTTGGTTCGTCTGCGTACGTCCGACCAACAGGACCGTGGTATTCTGTTAGCAATTCTCCACTATCTAGGCAGGTGGACAACTTATTTGTAAGTGTGAATTATAGACCCAACTGGTTTACAAGCCAGCCCAAAGTAAGGAGCCACTTCCTGTTTACACTAATGATGACCCACATCCGTAAAAATGTCTGAAACGTCATAGCGTGAATTATTGCATAGTAAATGTTTAGTAAATGGATCATTCATGCGTGACTATACTTCCTTCTTCACCGTAATGCCAATTAAATGTTGTTGTACCTGTAACCAAAAAAAAACAGTGTCCAAAACATACGTTCAAAATTGTGGAACTACCCCATTGACCGAGCGCTGCCAATGGAGCAGGGTAGCCGCATGATGCCGGCTGGATCTGGGAGACGCGTCGACTCGGCCGTGCGTCGTCTCAATATTAAAGGCAAAGGTGCAGGCCTGCAATTGCTCATTCACGCCGCTGATGGCCGAAGGGCCTCCGATAGATTGAGCTGCAGAGAGTCCCTCCACTGGGTGTTTGGCATACTCTTTCACACTGGCCAGAAGTATTGGAAGAGGTGGGCGTATCCACACTTTACCCCACCATAAGTGACCTGCCGACCGACTACTGTGGTGCACCCACTTATACTGCTGGGCGGATAGACGGGGGGCGGCGGGGGGGGTTGCGGGATTTAAGAAACTCACCAAATAATTTCAACTGCAGCGTTGGGAGATGGAATCGAAACAGCGACCTATGAACCACAAGGCCAGTGTGCTGACCATGACACTGCTGTGGCAGGTGGACAAATGTTTTCTGAGTGAATTTCAGATGCGCTTCTGCGGCCACCTGGAACGCTCCATACGTCCGATTATTAGGAAGCCACTGGGAGCTATTCACTTTTAAATCATCTAGATTTAAAACTCATTCCTTCAGAACTGTTTTTTTGTTTAGTTTGTGTCCTTTTACCCCAGAACCTCCGATTATAGCTGTTGGCTACTTACGATGCGAAAGAACTTCAACATATACATACACACAACCTGCATTCTGCACAGATAATGCTGCACGGGCATTTCGAACAAAATGCGTACGCCAAAGGCAGCGTTCATCTTCACTCACCCGACAGCCTCCACGGCGAGACAAAGATGCCGCATTTGGTCACGCGGGCCCGTCGGTCGGTGCTTGTGCTGTCAGCGAGCACCTACTCAGTCCGGTGTGGCGCATTGGGGAAGGGGGGTAGCGTGGCTCACACACCACGCCCAGCCACCATTGTCTCCCCCTGATTGACAATAAAACTGAATCACTGTTTATAACCGCTACCTGTTTCGGACCTGAGCTGACCTAAAGGGAACCCAGTACCAGATTCAGATTTAGCAATGACAAAATGTTGTGCATGGCCGGAGATTGATTGCCGCCCACTTGGGATTGTAACGCAACGGTGAGAACCGATACACCACCGTTCCCAGTATACAGAACATGTACATTGTATACATTATGCATGTGCATATATGTATTTTTTTATATATATGTATACATGTGCATTTGCCCACACCCTGGCCATAGGCTATATATACATGTAGTAGCGGAATTATATTTTTTATATATTTTGCAAAATCTGTCGCTATGCGGACATTAACCGCCCAGGTCTCCTTTACAAAAGAGCCATTACTGTTCATGTGTCTCAATAGGTTCATTATTCTATATCCTGGTTAAATAACGGACAATGGCGATGGACTATTGTTGGGTTATCATAAGCTTGTGAATAAAATAATGTGAAGGAGTTTACGTGTTTAATATGCACATTTCTCGAGTTCAATTTTCAAAGCGATTATTTTTGGCACAGGCATTAGTTGGTTCATCTGTCCATTTTGGTTTGATATTTCATAATCAATATTCTGTTTTAACACTAATATATTGGCTTATTCTTTTGAAACAATACGTAAAAAAATTGCGTGGTGACATTTCGGTGTCGATTTAAATGAACAGATGGAAAAAAATGTGAAGCCATGTAGAGTTATACTAAATTGTAATCATCGTAAGCCATGCTCAATCAACTGCTGGATGAAGGCCTCCCCAACACGCCGCCATCTCACGATCCAATTGTTCTCCAGCAGATTTCAATCGCAAGACGGACAGAAAATATATCACGCAGTTTCCATGCGAGTAAAATGTTAAAATGATTTGTTTTATTTTTCCAAGATTAATTTCTCTTCGCTTTCACGATACACTGACCCGCATTGCAATGCTGAATATATAATGTGATATTCTCTTACAACGCACACCAAACAGACGCACAATACGGGCCATTGCGATGAAAGCATCCAAACCTTCACATGTAAGCCATACATAAATTATCGTATGGCATACATTAATTTACGCACCGTATACACTGCAGTGAGTATGACAAAGCATGTGAACACGCATGCACGAGCACACGCATGTGCGCACACGCACTGCGTGTTGCAGTAACACACACCTACGTAAATGCTGATTTCACACCATATGCATTCATATTAATTTTCACCGAATATGCAACATTTAGCACATGGCATCAATGCAGTTGCAGATCGTGCACTTATATGTCCACCCATTGTGACACTGAGAAGGATGCCAACTATGGCAATCTGGCCAATGACACGTATTACAATGTGCAACACACGCACCAGCATGAGCACACAAAGACACGTACACACACAAATACGGTCAACAACACATGCACACACACATAAAAACGCACACACATGTATGCCAGACAAAGACAAAGATCCCCCGTATAGCCTTTTTTAACAGACTGTTGGGGCAAGTGCTGTCAGCGAGCACCTATGAAGGCCGGGCACCACACACAAGGGAGTGGGTGGCCAGCACCACGCCCGGCCACCTTTGTCTCCCCAGTGGCGACGTTTACACACCACACCAGGTACTCATTTGAGACTGAGTCGACCTAAGGGAGGCCCAGGACCGGTTCAGATAATCATCACTGGTGTCGGCCGTGAGCCGGAATCGAACTCGGGTCACCGGGTTCGTAGCGCAGCGCACTAACTGCTACACCACCGCTCACCTCAGAACACACACACACACATGCACACGTGATGCCAGAACACACGCATGACATGCATGCACTGTGTGCACATTTTTCTCACCCGTGCGTTACTCCAGCTGAGGCAGACAGCGCCTTCTGAGATGGGGGTCTTGTGTCCTTCTGCAAGAAATTGGGGGGGGGGGGGGGGGGAGAACAGCAAGGGCAGAAAATGAAACGCGAGAGCAGTGACACACAAATGATGCTCACGCACGCGCACGCACGCGCACGCTCTCTCTCTCTCCTGGCACTGCTGAGCCGGCCTCTCCGTGCAGTTTCTTATGAGGCTCACTGCTTGCACCGCAGCCAATGAGGCTGCAGACACAGCCGCTGACCCGTCGGCCAATCGGAGGGCAGGAATCCTTGTCTCTTTTTTTTTGTTGTCCACGCGCTATCGAGCCCACGCCTTCATTGGCTACGGGGACATTCACCGAATTTGCATTTTTTAAAATTCCTCCGCATCCTCTGCTTAATTGGCAATTTCGGCGCAACAATCGGGTCGGTAATGCTACTCATGTAAATTCTAATTGTTTATATTCGATAGGTGAGGTGGCATTGCTGGTGGTGGTGATGGTGGTGGTGGTGATGTTAAAATTCAGAGTGCGTAGGGCGGTGCTCACCGCCTGTTTGGTCAGTGGTGGAGATTCCACATTCACATATCAAGAGCAAGTCCACCCGTAGGACAGCCACTTGATTATGACGATGATGATATCTTAAGGTCCTGCGATGGCTGCTGCTGCTGCAAGAGTGTGGTGTGACAGTCAGCGCACTGGGCTTGCAATGCTGAGGTCTCCGCTTACATTCAATCTCCCGGCACGGCAGTTGAAAGAACGGTGCAAGTTTCTCAAATCCTTCACCCCCAACCACCGCTTCTCCTTCCTCGTCTGTTCAACCAAGGTCGCGTGCGTGGTGGGGTAAAGTGTGGGTACTCACACCTCTCCCAAGATGCCCGACCAGCGTGGAAGAGGAGGCTCAAAATACCGTCTAGAGGGGCTGTCTCCAGTGGAGGCCCTTCTGCCAGCGGTGGCACAAGCGAGCATTTGCTGGGCTGCGCCTTTGTCCTGCCGATGTAATGAAATGGAGCTTCTTAACCAATACATTCCATTACCAAGTACCAAAACAAGTTACGGAAGCTGTTTTATCACGATTAAAATATCTGGTCGCGTGACGCTGCAATTTCACAACCTAATTTATATGGTCAACACATAAAGCTGGTGTTTGTGTTTTTCTGCATAGCTTGTTGTCTTTCCTCCGCATCTCCGACTACGTACGGTGCGAAAGAAGTTCAACATACACACGTACGCACAAAGCGACCACTGAGTCTGGCCCTGCGTATCTCGGAGTCACGGCCATCTAGGACGTCCGTGGAATTCTGTTGCATTCATATTCTGGCTCGTCTTAACAGGGGGATGCTTTAAAGTTGGTTTTGATTATTACCACGTAATTGTGACGAGTAATTAATTTAACGATACAACACGAAACACCATTACAGGCAGTCCCCGGGTTCCGTATTCCCGAGCACGATCCGTAACCCGCATTTTCCGTATGTCGGGAACTGATTTTTTTTAAAACTCCAAAATCAACGATAAAATCCCATAGCCGGAAATAGTCGTGCCCCTCCCCTGCCCGATTACTAGGTTCGTTTTCTCTCAGTGTCGTATCGCGCTGTCGTCGAATATCAACCTTAACACTACCCATAGTTAAACGAATGGAACATATGCCGTATCCAATTGTTTACGAATACCACGGAGCATTATTTATTTATTAATGTTAACAGAAAGTTGTCACTGCCGAATGTTCGTTTACCGTGCATTAGGCTAGGCCTAGACTTCTCCGATCGCTGTTGGCTGAATCGGCAAGCAATCCAAGTGTCATTGTGTAAAATAAAGTACATACAGTAAATAACTCGTGAAATAAACTTAAAATGAAGAAAGCTAGCAATAGAAACATGGGGGAAAAAAAGATAGTTCCAAGCATAGAAAACAAACAATTACGTAATGCTACAAAAGGAAAGAATTACATAACGCTACAAAAAATTACATTTACCTTAATCCTGGTCAAGCTCGGACTTGGTGAAGGCGGCGTTTTGGTGGAGCGAGGCGTAAGGCGGCTGCCCGCCCTATGCCTCCCTCCGTGGTATTCATCCGCAACCTCAAGGCACTGCACTATTTCCGCCTACGTAACTAACGGAAACATTTCTGCAAATTTTTACATGATTTATGGGAGCATTTCCGTAAAGTCGGTTTCCGTAAGTCGGATCTTCCGCAACCTGCGGGCTTGAAAAGCCTCTTTTGTATGTATGTCGAATTTCTTTCGCACCGTACGTAGCCAACCGTGCTAATCAGTGGTGCAGGGGATGGACAACAAACTAAACACAAAAAGCAGTTCTTAAGATATGAGTTTTCAATCTAGATGATTTAAAAGTGCATTGCTTCCAGTGGCTTCCTAATATCAGAAGGAAGAGCGTTCCAGACGGCGACAGAAGGGCATCCGAAAGCACGCGATGTGGTGACCATCTCTGTTCGATGACTAGCATCCCTCTTAACGAAGTGGCTAATCACGTGGAAATTTATAGCAGCCGTATACTCTTAAAACGCATGTTGATTGTAAATGTGGAGGGGAAAACCGAAGGACCCAGAGAAAAATACACGTGACCACGGGAGAGAGAAGCAAACTCCAGGGTCGTGATATACAGGCATCAGGGTCAGGATCGAACCCACGACCTCCTGCACACCAGGCGAGGTAGTCAACATCTCCTAACCACCGTGATGATGAGAGAGACACCGCAAACTCCAAATACACAGCAGCAGCAGGCATCAGGGTCAGGATCAAACCCACGACCTCCTGCACTCCAGACGAGGTAGTCAACATCTCCTAGCCACGATGATGATGATGAGAGAGACACCGCAAACTCCTGCACACCAGGCGAGGTAGTCAACATCTCCTAGCCACCGTGATGATGATGATGGTGGAACCCACGACCTCCTGCACACCAGGCGAGGTAGTCAACATATCCTAGCCACACTGCCAACCGGTGTCATGAAAACGCATCGGCGTATCCAGGAGGCTCTGGTGAGTTGTGATAATAATTAATTACTTATTTACTTAGTAAGACTAGGCTGAGTGCTGTTAGTAAGCGTCTATTTCGTACGGCCAGCAAGGCTGGGGCATGAGTATGTGGTGTGGCCAGGACCAATCACCCACCGTCTGCCTTTGACTCCCCTATGCCGATGTCGACACACTGCACCAGGCAATTCAAATTTATGCTGAGTCAACCTATAACAGGCTCAGACCGAGATTGGCACCGCTGTTGTGCATGGCCAGGAATCAAACTCAGGTTTCCGGGATGACAGTGTGCAGAACACTACAAAAATCCTCCACGTAGCCTTTGAAAGACTGTTGGGGCAAGTGCTTTTAGCAAGCACGACTGTTGGGGCAAGTGCTTTTAGCAAGCACATATTAAGGCCGGTACGGCGCACGAGGGGTGGTATGCCCAGAACCACACCCAGCCACCGTCGACCCACTGCTGATGCTACACACTGCAACCAGGCACTCATTTGAGGCAGAGTTGGGTTTTACGGGAGATCCACACCGGATCTTAACCGTGGTCAGGAATCAAACTCAGGTGATAAGAGTTTGTTGTGCAGTACGCTAACCGCTGCACCACCACTCCACTCACAAAGATGCACGCATGCACGTGCGCGCGCACGCACACTCGAAATACACCGGATATTGCAGTCTCATTTTCGGACATTAAACTCCAGTCCATTACGGGAGAGTGCCTGCAACTGAGTGCTTATTTTCTGCCGTTAAGAGCAAAATGTTATTGGCGCTGGGCCCAGCGATGGTCAGTGGCGCAGCCCAGGGGAGGGTGGTGGGGGGGCATAGGGGAAAATGTGCCCTGAGCCTCACACAAGACAGAGCCCCCCACAATGAGCCTGTAATATTGCCGCTGATAAATATGCGTTAAATATCCAGACTGTATTATCATCGTCGTTGTCGTCATCAGCAACTGTCTATCCACTGCTGAATGAAGGCCTTCCCAGGCCATGGCGTTTTATATGCGTTTTAAACAACGGTGCAAGTTTCTTAAATTTTGCCTTCCGCCTTTGTCCACCCAGTATCAATAGTCGACCGATGTTCAGCAGGGCCCTTGAGGGGGGGGGGGTTCGGGAGTTGGGGGGGTTCGGGAGTTGGGGGGGCAGCCAAAAGAGACATTTTCGCAGGGCCTCACACAAAAGAGTGCTCCAAATCCGGGGCCTCCAGGAACCTCTGGGCCCAACGACGTTCAGGGAGCTCGTCCTGAGCCAGTGTCCACGAATGTGGCATATTGGCTCCTGATGCTGCCGCTAAGTAATTTCTGTGGGGCGTTACAAAAGCGTGCCACCTGCTCAGTAAAGATCCTGTGATGTGATTTATAAGAGCACGCCACAGTATGGCAGTACTCTATGCCAATATATCATCCTCACAGCAACAGCTTTTGGCTAACCATTGAACAAAGACTGCCATTGCATCGGGCGCTTTCAGATGTGCTTCTGCGGCCGTCTGGAACGCTCTTCCTTCTGATATCATCAGGAGTCATTGGAGCCATGCACTTTTAAATCTAAATTGAAAACGAATTTCTTTTGAACTGCCTTTTGTGTTTAGTTTATTTTCCTTCCCCCACACCTCCGATTAGCACGATTGGCTAAGTACGGCGCGAAAGAAGTTAAACATACATACAATATTAAAAATGTGAAATGCAAATCAAATTGTTTACAGTTGCTAGGTGGATTATTGCATCGCAGGATCAGCAGTGGCTTTGGGAGGCCTTCATCCAGCAGTGGAGTAACCACAGCTGATGATGATGATGAAAATATTAAGGTATTCTTTCTTACCCACAGTGCACCAAGCGCATAGTATATTTTGTACGATCTTGCTGTACTGTGCTCACTGGGTCGCGTGGTGTTCGTCCACAACAGTGGATAACACAGCAGCACTTGCCTAACAGGCCGCAGCCTGCTAATGAGACCGAGACTGTCGAAATCAATTCAGGTAAGACGGAGGCGTCATCAGGGCTACCACCTCCGGACCTCTGCAACGCTTTCTACCCTCCACCAGATCCCGCAGCCTGCGCATCGTAGACACAGTGCGACCTCCAAGATGTGCCCCGACAGTGTCCCACCACCATCTGGCCTTGGCTCTTCTCTTCCCCTTGGTCACTATATGCACCGTATGTTGAACTTATTTCACACCGTACCTAGCCCACTGCGATAATCGGAGGTGTGGGGGAAAGACAATAAACTAAACACAAAAATCAGTTTTAAAGAAATGAGTTCTCAATCTGGATGATTTAAAAGTGCATAGCTCTAGTAGCTTCCTAATATCGGTAGGAAGAGCGTTCCAGACAGCCGCAGAAGTGCATATTTCCCTTCCTGGGTGGGGAGTTGATCTGGGGTTGCCGGGTTCAAAGTCCAATACGCCAGACAATTGCGCCACCGCTTCGCCTGCTGACGATTGTGTTGATAATAATCACGCTGCGGCTGCTACTACCGAAGATGATACACAAAGCGCGACACTGATGCTATGTAAAATGCTCATGATGATAACAATAATGATGCTGCTGCTGCAGCTGAAACTGAAATCGGTGATCACGAATTTATCAAAGCACGAGTTACATTAGAACAAGATCCTTACAGAATCCGAATATTTGTTTTATACTGGAGGAATCCGATGAGCTATTAAGCTCTTTTTTCAAATGATGTCCAGTAGGACATCATGTGGGTTACCCCCCCCCCCCACCTCCAAGAGAATATCGCAAGCACCCTGCCCATGAGCTCTCTCTCTCGTCTTAGCAAAGAAGCGATCGTTTCTGTCTGTGCCGACTAAACGCCCAGCACGCATCTCCCCAGCGGCGGTGGGGGCAGCTCAGAGTAACGCAGAGACGCCGTTCACAACAGATGAGTGAGCACCTTTCAGCGGAACGATCGATGGGGCTCACGAGTGAGCAGGCAAGAGAGAGAGACGCACACACAGAGAGCGCCAGAAATCCACTCGGCAGCTCAGCGGCGACCAAAAATCTTTTTGGTTATTCTGCTGAGTCTCACTTGGCGAAGAAAACCTGGAAGGGGAATGGCGAAATAAAAAAAATAAAAAAAAAATTTTCCCCTCCGCTGTTCAATTTGGGAACTCACCGAGGAAAACTCTGCCGTGTGCTGCTGCCCTTACAAATCCGATCACTCTGGAGCCCGTTCAGGTGTTTGTCTGAAGTGAGGGCATACGGGGTGGTATTTGGTGGATATTGCTTGGGGAGACACCTTGCACTAACTCGTCCAGATTTGTTTAACTATCATCGACTAGCCAGTTGGGAACAATGGGAGTGTTTCTCCAGTGAATACACAACAACCGCTGTTCACTACTAAGTGGCGGTGACGTCAGTGTGACGCTTGTGCCAGGCTATGTGCTCCCCGCACGTACAAACACACATCACGCACACAGCTAGAATCGTCCTGGGCGATCGCCTTGCCGTAGCTGGGAGATGCACAGCGGTCAGCCCTGGACCCACTCACCCAGGGCCGGATCATGGTCACATGAGGCCCCTGGACACACGTATTTTGATGGATATGCATCACTGTTAGACACCTCATCTGACATAAACAAAACTTCAAAGAGACTGGTCAAGCGCTTGTAAGCGTCCAAGCGATGTTCAAGGCATGCCACTAGCTTATCAATGACCACAAAATGTTTCTCTTTTGAACTTCTCCCTCCGCTCAAGTGTCACACCTGGCTCTGAGCTCCCATCTGCAAATGTTTTGCGTTTCCTCTTTCGCTGAAAATCGTGCTGATATGACTGAGAGACGCCTGTCACATTCAAGGCTGCCCTTTCAAAAGCCTGAAACTGGTCTCGCTGTCCCGCCACAAAATCCCTCAACGAAGACAAAAGCTGTGCTGCTACAGAGATGTCAATGTCATGCTTGTAGCGTGGAACCGATCAAGTATGACGTCCCAGAAATGTGCCATGAACACTATCTCTAAGGTGTCAAATTTAGTACATAGTCCAGCGGCCTCTACTCGAGTGTCTCTTTTCTCATTATCATCATTGCGCATGACACCGAAGGCCTCTCTAAAGTGAGTGTAATTTCTCCACAGTGCCTTGGTTGACTCTGCCCGAGCACTCCACCGAGTACTGGACAACGATTTTAATGCCAGTCTGACATCTGTCTTCCGAAAGACTTTCCCCCATCTGTGTGTAGATGAAGAGCAAAATGTGTACAGTGACTGCAACATGTAAAAAAAAAACTCGTCAGTCTCTGGGCTACTGCCGTCTAAGATGTTAACACAAACTAAGGTAAG